CTTAGACAACTGAGTTCTGTGACAGCTAGGTCCAACCCCAAGGGAAGTTCTTGACTTCTTGTACTTGTGCCATAAAGAAATTGATATGGAGAAGCTTGATAAAGCAAATTTATTTTGTTCTCACTGAAGCACTTATTTAATTTTCACTCGGATTATATAGAAAATGTTTTCCAAGTATTGAATCCATGGTAAAAATAGTTTTCAAAACCTGATGGTCTTGTCTTTCGTCCATGCAAAACTCATCTGCTTACTGCTTACAGTTTCTGATAAACTTGTGGTTTTGACTTGCAGGGTGTCGAGAGAGTTCTATTTGAACACTGCAGAATTCATTGATGCTGTGGCGTTTAATCTTCAGTCAAAGCTTCGTTCTCCAGCTTTTGTTTGAAAATCTCTACCCTACCTTCAGTTTGACTTGTGGGGATTGTACAGCATCCACATTTTTGTAGGAAAAATTAAAAGAAAAATAAAAAGACAATACATATGGGTTACATTCAACGCTTTCTTAAACCTAGCTGTTACGAATGCTCAGGAGATGTTGGATTTTGTGTTTGGATATGCAAGGAACCGGTCATTGCTGACAAGTGTTCTTTCGTATCCCTTTCTATCTTTTGAATTTTCTTGCAAAATTGCGAACACTATCATTGGAATTTAGTCTATTTCAAAGGATATCTAGTTATCGTGTAAGGCTACGTCTGTTATTCTGGATTTTCCGGGATATCCCGGACAATCCTTGGTTAATCAAACGTTTGTTAGGTGTGATTGCGGCCGCAGGATTGCATAAGGCCTGGGACAAACCGTGCTTTATCCGTCATTGGTTGGTGTGATAACTAGATCTTACTCCCAAGGTGATTGGATTTATCCTAATGTATGTAATGTCTGTTTCGTCCTCGACTTATATATGTGTTGACGATTTTACCCTCAATTCACTAAATTCCCTAGTTAATTAGTCGTAACCCATATAAGTATACCTTCCAAAATTGCGGTCTTCTCACAAGCCCTAGCCGATTGGAGAGCCCAAATGGAAATCCCACTCTCCTCGTCACCACAACCCACTTGCAAGAACTCTAGGCCGCAGCTGTCAAGCAACACTACTCCAACCGCCTCCCACGAAAGCAGTTGAAGAAGGTGATCCAATTCAATCCTCAAGAGGTTGGATTCGTTGAATAGGGTGGCCGAACCGCTATAGGAGGAGGGCGGGAGCTTGGCGGCTGAGGTCCCAGTTGATGCTGGTGGAGGTGGTTTGTTCGCTGGTGAGCCTCTGGAGAAGGGGGGTTCGGGGAGGAAGGATCTGATTTTCAGGCTGAGGATTCAATTGGGATTTCAAGTGGCATTTTGATACTTTTTAAAAATTGAGACCGTAAAATTTCCAGGTTTTGGAAGATTTTGTGAAATCTTAAATTTGAAGGTGGCATTTGAAGTGAGATTTCGTATAAGTTTTTTTTTGTTTTTAGAAATCCCACCAAATCTTAAAAAGTCTTAATATATGTTAGGGAGGTGTATTCAATTAGGATTTCTAAAGACTTTTAAAAACATTTTAGACTTTAGAAATCCTAGTGTATTTAATTTAGACTTCTCAAGACTTTTAAAAGTCTTGAGGTATTCATTTAGGGTTTTAAAAAATATTATAAAATCTTGAGGTATTTAACTTATTTGAGACTAAGATTTTTTAAGATTTGCAGGGATTTCTAAAGAAAAAAACATATATGAAATTTCATGCTCGAAATCTCAAGTGAATACACCATCCCCCCTCCCACTAGTATCAAATAAAGTTAGAAACCTTATGATTTTGTAAGACTTTCTAAAATCTCAATTGAATATCCCAAGACTTTTAAAAGTCATAAAATGTCTTAACAAATCTAAATTGAATACACCAGAATTTCTAAAGTTCTAAAAAATCTTTAGAAATCTGAATTGAATACACCCCCTTAGCATGAGGCTGTGCGAGAAGTGTGAAGTTGCGGAGAAGAAGCTGGAGGAGGTGGAGGCTGTGGTAGATGAGATGGAGAAGGGAGCTCGAGAGGATTTTTTCACCCGGTTAATGAGGTTAAATGAGATTTTTGTACTCATAATTTTCCCACAATTTTGAGGTTCTTCTTGGATCGAGTTTCTGAGGATTTTCTGTACAGAATAGGGTAAAAAGATAAAAATGAAAAAAAGATAAAAAAAAAAGTGAATATCATTGTACAGCTAGAAGAGGACAAGGTTGTACATTCACATCTAATTAATTTATTATGAATAATAAATGAGTGTATTAGTTAAATATAAAATTATCCAAACAACAAGATTATATTTATCGTACGTTACAATCCACCCATTATGTATTAATTTAGTACAATACAATCTCGAAAACAAAAAGGGGCCTAAAAATATCAACTCTAAATATCTCCCATCAATAGATTCAACTCTGTAAAATACAAATGCATATTGAGGGGATGTTTGCAATTTCCAAGGGTTTTTTTTTTACATGTAAACTATTCCATGTAAAGTGAGTGGAATAGAATAAATTGTAAATTATCGATGATGGTGGAAAATTGCCACACAATAATATGTTCTCCAAGTCGCACGATAATTTGTCAGATCATCCAAGTATTTTGTATTTAGGTATTGCATTTTTTTAAATAAAAAGGCTTCGAATGAAGAAGAGAGAATCAGGATCGGGTCCTAAATTCATTAGTTAAGCGTGAGAAGCTGTGAGCCAAATGAATGGAAAAATTAAGGGCAAATTTACATCCTTGCGCAGCCTAAAGTTAAATATTTGCATAGATACTATTTTGTAAAAAAAATGCATGAGTACGAAAAATTTGCAAACATAATTATGGGAATACCAGCTAATTAAATGGTGGCAAAAATATGACAAACTAAACCTCTATCTTCCGTCAGTTTATGGGAAGATTTTATAACAAAATAATGCAAGAATATTCTATCACATGGTAAGCAACAAAATCACGTTTCACGTATATTTAGCTTGCGAAAAAATAGAAAATTTGATTGGTATCATCGTTTTGATATTTCCGGCCACATCATCCAGTCGAATAATTATTTACATATGGTTGAAAGAAAAAAAAAGGCACGACGTCGTTTTTTTTTGTTAATTTGATTTTTTTTATGTGTTATTTCTTTTTCGGTATATATTGCGTTTATAGTTGGTATATATGTCAACATTTATATCTCGGGTGTTCTGAATGCGCAGAACATATTACGTTTATAGTTATTATATAATCAGTATATGTTGAAATTGTTGGTATATGTATCCTAGAGACAATCTTTTTGAGGACATATATACATGATCACATTAATAATTATAATGGATTATAATTATGGTATTACAATTTGTAATAGCCCAGTTCTGTATTAATAAAAATGACAGTTTTTAGTTCCCAGTTGAACTATTTCTTTTTATTAATACTGCTCGTCTTGAGTTTCGAGCCCAGTTATCAGTTATTAATTCTGGTCCATTTATTTTATCAATGGATTTTATTCAGTCGGAATTAATTATTTCAGTTGACGAATAATCGAAACCGAGTTTGTTTCGATAAATCGTCCAAGTTTAGCCGTGTCCGGAGTTGTTCGGTCGCGAGTATCGCGCCTAGTTCGCGCCTAGCCAATTCTCGAGCCCTAGTTGTCTCGAGTCTTGTTCGAGCCCTAGCCATGCTCATAGCCTTAATTAGAATATTTCTAAGTATGAGATCATATTTGTCAAGCCTTGGATGTTATTCCCTCGGTCTAGTATACCGCACCTAGTTCGTGCGTGGCCCCGAGATCACTCGCGCCTAGGGTTCGCGAGTTTGGGCCAAAGCCGTGCCGAGTTCGCACCAAGTCATGACCAAGTATTGAGGGGATTTTCCTAGGTTTGGTGGCACCTAAGTGTGGCCATTTTTCAGCCCTAGCCAAGGGTTAGCCTCGGTTCAAGTGCATTCCAAGCCGGGCCATGAGTCGCGCCCTAGTACCTGCACCCTAGCCCCGCGCGAGTCAAGTATGGTGTCCCAAGTCATGGCCAAACACCTTTGGAATTTTCCTAAGTGTGGAGAACTCTTTTTCCAGCCCTAAGCATGTGGCATAATCGGCCCAAGTGTTTTTCTCGCGCGCAGCCCGGGCCAGCAGTTCCCGCGCCCAGCCCGCGCCTAGCTCGCGCCCAGGGCGCGCCCAGGGCCCAGCAGCGCCCAGGCCCAGCGCTGGCAGCGCACCAGCTCACTTCTTGAGCCCAATTCCATATATTTCGGCCCACTTCTCCAGGGCCCAACTTCATGCGTGTGTTAAGGGGTGGATTAAGGACTAATTCAGCTTAGGATGCCCTAAGTAATGATTAAGGATGTCACATGGGCATTAGGGATTATTTAATTGTGAGTGGAGGGGCCATATGCAATTGTTTATGTTGTGCCTTGTCCCCCACTACCTCCAACCCGACCAAGACCTGTCCAAGGCATATTTTATTGTTGGATACCCTGCCATATTCCCTCCAAGACCGTGCAAGATGCTGCCCATCAGCTCCCAAGTTCCTATGTGCATGTGGAGTGGGAAAATGCACTCATTTTGGTCTCCCACCATCCCACCTAGCTAACTCCGCCCCTCAGCCTTTATAAGGGTCCCTCTCCAGCCCCTTTTCAGCTCTTGGACTCATAAACACTCGGACATATTGAGAGAAATCAAAGGGAAAGTCGAACTCAACTCACCTTGGCCGTCCGCACGCACGCGAGCCCGGGAAAGGGAGCCACCGAGGTCCAGCCACTTGCAGCCATTTTATCTCGAGGCTTAGCACTTTCTAAGTGTTTCTTAGATTTTTCTAAGTCTTTTGAGATCATCAAAGCTCAGCATTTTAGCCCCAAAGTCGAGGCCAAGTTCCTAGGGCCGCGAGATCCCCGAGCAAAGTCCTTTGGCACCATTTCGTCTTTTGAGCAAGGTTAGCTCGTGCCAACCATTTTTCCTATCTTATTCATGATAAAATAAGAATTATCATGTGGAAAATGATGCCATGCATGTGAGATATAAGGAGATATGAATTTTTGATCATATGAGCCCAAAATTCGTAAGTTTATGTACATGCATGATATGGCCGAGATTAGCATCTTAAAAATCCTCAAAAATCATGAGTATGACATGGTTAAAACAGTTTCATGCTTTGAGTTCATTTGTTCGGTCAATTTGTTAAGTGAAATCGAGCCATTTTCACCCCCGAACCTAAGTATATGTGCATGCATGTATTGACCAATGTTCTAGCCTCATTAGCCATGATTTTTGATGTATATCATTCGGCCCTAGGTCAATTTTCATGTTGAGCATGTTCATTTTTGTGCCCTAGGGTGGCCTCGTGCCTAATCGGCCCTATAAGCCCACCACCAAATCCAACCGAGGTCCCTCAGTGACTTTTGGCATTTTTGAGCATTTTATGTCATATTAGGTTGATTTGGTTCAGTAGTCCCCGGCAAAGTTGCCGGAAGTTTGGCAAAGGACCGGCTAGGGTCACCAGCCGCGCCAGTCGCGCGTGCCGTGCCCGTGCCGCGTCGCAGGGGCCAGGCAGTGCCCCTGTCCGTGCCCGCGCCTAGCGCTCGCGAGGCACCGCAGTCCCCAGTGCACGTGACAGCGCCCAGCCGCGCCTGTCCGTGCCAGCCCGCGAGGTCTCAGCGCCAGTCGCGCCAGAGCACCTCCGATAGCGCCCGGCAGTGTTGTCCCAGTGTCATGCACGCGTGATCCCGAGCCAGTCGCTCGTACCACGCGGAGTCGACCTCGGGTCGTGCCAGCAGCGCATCCGAGTGTCCAGTGCCGTGCTGTAGTGACCCTGAGTCAGGTCCAGAGGCCTCGGGACGTGCCCAGCAGCACGCCCGAGTAGTCAGTTAGCCCGGGACGTGCCCAGCAGCATGCCCGCGTGCCCAGGGTCGCCCGGTAGCACCCTGACAGCCCTAGCCGCGCCCGAGCCGCGCGAGTAGTGTCTGGCCACATCCGTTCTCGCGCCAGTCGCACTCGGGTCGTGCCAGCCGCACGCCCAGTGCCCAGTCAACCCGGGTACGCGCCAGTTCCCGCGTCCCTCGTGCTCGACCGTGCCCAGCAGCACGCCAGCACACCCAGTGACTCTCGGTCGTGCCCAGCCGCACCTAGTGGCACCAGTCGTGCCAGGGCCCGTGCCAGCCGCACAGCCCGCGCCCAGCAGCGCCTAGTACCGTGCCCGGTCGCACCCAGCTAGTGCCCAGCGCCGTGCCATGGCCCCAGCAGGCCCGGCACGGGATCGAGCCCGGCCAGTCCGAGCAGCCCGTGACCAACCGGTCCAGTGTGACCCGGTGGTCCAACCGGGTCCGGTCCAGCCCGACCCGGTTCAGCCAGTTAGCGAACCGGCCGGTTTAGCCGGCGGTTCGAGCCCGTTTTGGTTCGTGATTTTCGGTCCGAGTCCTTTTCCGAAATTTAAGTATTTTTCTGAGCCAAACCAGATCAGTTAAGCATATCAGTATAATTTCCGGACTTAGAATTATTTCTGTGAACCCTTAGAGCGTTCCTTTATATCCGGATGAGTAATCTGATAGAGTAGAGCATCCTAGCATATTTTTAAGCATATGACGAGCATAGTACTTAGTATATTTGTTTGCTTATATTTTTATGTAGCTTGAGGAGTCAGCTACCAGCACAGCCGCACTTACTCATTTTCAAAACCGATCAGGTGGGGACCCAGTCTGGGTTATACATTGAGTTTAATAGTCGATATCACGCTCAGGTATGTATATGAGTTTTATCCACTTTGGGTTAAGGCCAAGTTTGCCTTCCCTAAGTTCTGGTGGTGGCCCAGTTGCCCTAGTTATACCATTAGAGTGTGCACACGGTTACCGGCCAGAGTGTTCCGGGAGTTACCGGCCAGAGAGTTCCGGGAGTTACAGTTTACTTATATATACCAGTTTGTGATATCATTATTAATATTGCTGTTTACTTTAGAATGGGTTTTTATGGAGTACAAGTGGACCGTACTCACCCCCACTTTATATTTTCAGATGGCAGGGTCGGCGGGCAGGCGTGAGTCAAGCTGTGGTGGTGTTGGTCGTGAGTTCCGCACGAAAGCTGTTCCCGGGACATTTGTTTAAACTGTTTGT